GTATAAAAAACTTCAATTCATATATTCCCTACAGACAAAGAAAAATCGTTGCTAAAATTAAAAAAAAAACCATTGTTATAATTAAAAGTTTGCATTGGTTCTTTTTGGTAGAAAGCAGTTAGCTTTCAAAACGAAAGTCAATCAACTGTCAATTCAAAAAAATTTCGGCCATTCATTTTAAAAGTTTAAACTTTCAAAACGAATTGTATTACTGTCAAAAGAAAAGCCAGACAGTGTTGAAAGAAAAATATATTTTTTTCTAATTCAAATCAAACTTTTAAAATGACATGTGGTATTTTCAATCGTAAAATTAAATATTTTCAGTTAAAAAACCATTATTTTCAATTTATTCACGTCGCTTTACATTTTATATTCTAATATGTGTTTTTATTTGGTTAATACATAGATCCAGACATATTTTTATCACTTGACATCAATAACAATAACAATAAATCATTATGACTACCCGATTTTCAAAAACGTCGTGGCGGTGGGTGGCTTCCTTCCGGAAGGCAAATGGGGAACTATTTTATTTGATGCGCTATTTGTTGTTGAAAAACTGAGGCAAATATGTGATTACTGCGGAATTCCTATCACCGAGTTGAAGACTCGGTTGAACAACACATGCTGATTTCGTTGCTGCACTACGTTGATCACGTACATGATAAATCCTCCATCACACACAAGGGGAACAAAACAGGCATCTGTGGTGGAAACATTCGAATCGGCGGAACACCCGTAAATCGAAAATATTCAGCCGATGATGCCGTATCGGTCATGGGTTGATTTTCCATATTGGGAGATCGAACCAGAGCGTTAGACTGGGTCATTTGTAAGAATGAGTTACGTTCCACTGAAAATTACAAACAAGTTTGAACAACTCTTGAGGTAATGTCCTGGATAATGTAATGCATAATTACCTGGATACAAGATGAATTCAATCCGTTGAGTCAAGTTTGTCCAAATCTGGTGCTCTGAACTATGATGAAGTCCAACATTGGCCCTGCGAAACATCTTCAAGAATGTCGGAAGCTGAAAGCGATAATCTGCATCCCAGTTAGCTTTCCGGTTCCGGTTCTGCAAAATTAAAATTAATGAAAATTATATATGCGATCATTCCCAAAAATTCTCACCTTAATTATTTTCTGCCTGGTAAATCCGGTGGAAGCTGGGGTGGAAGCAAAGTGAGTGAAGTGTAAACTCCATTTCCATTCAATTGGAAGCTGCTTCGCCTTGTTTTGTGTCGCTCGTCATATTTAGCGCCAAACCGAAGTCCAGTACTGCCAAAAACATCGCAATGAAGAGGTATTTTTGACAGTTCAACAACTTTTATTTCAAACAATCACTTTTAAAATTACGAGTCGAAAACCAAAAAACCAAAAAAATAACTTTCGTTTTGAATATTTTCAATGTTAAAACTATACAATTTGGAAAACTTTTAATTTAAAATTACATTATTTTTATAGCAACAATATTTGTTCTTTGTGTGTACCAGAAACTCAACCAGATTGTGGCGACCATGAGCGCTCGTAAAATCCTGGATAGCGGTGTGGCTTAAGGCCGGCGACCATGACAGTTAGCCCATGCATTATCTGTCAAAAAATCCGAAAACGTATGAATTGTGCACCAGCCTTTATTCCTTCTTCTATGGATGCTCATATGGGCTGCAACTCGCTGCTTGCAGGCAGCCTCTCGTTGTGTACTGGAGAACAATGTTCAACGCCACACGCCGAAAGCACTGCTGCTGCTGCTGATGCCGAAGACCGGACACCACCACACACTGTGATTAGAACTGTATCCGATCAGCGGTTGAGGCCAGCCTTAATAGCTAGCTGCTTACGGGGAGCCTTTCGTTGTGTACTGGAGAACACCAACACTCACCACGAGGTGATTGAATAAACACCATATGGTGAGACCGGATGGAATTCAACTTTGAAATCTGTGTTAGGGAAATCGCTTTTTGCAGGCGATCGGTGATAATTTTTATTATAATAGCAACAGTTGCACATTCGTGCAATTTTCAATAGTGACAATTTGAAAAAAATGATAAAGTCTTAAATTTAACAGGCAGCTGAGTTATTAACATTCAAAATCTTTCATAATTTTGTTACATGTTCCATTTTCGGTTTTCACAAAGTGTACCTACATATAGAAATCACAGACGTCGTCCTACGTCAAAATATATTTACTGGCAACCATATCCTCAACCATAACAACATAACGCAGATAATGACAGATCCTCCTGTGACATTCTTTGCTGTGCAGATTAATCCTTAAAACGAGCCCCTCTCACTGAGAAGAGGAAGACGAAATGGGCGTCTAACTTGGCGCCTGATATATAATTGGCGTTGACGAGAGCTCTGTAACTCTTTACTCCTATGGAGCAATCTCATATGTAACTGTCAGTCTATGCGAGGGGGGTGACACATCTAAATCTCAATACTAGATGCTCAAAAAATTTCACACTAGCGAATCAATCTTCGAAAACTCTTCTTTCAGTTCTCGCATCTACTTGCATCTACTTGCATCTTTTTCGAGGGGGGCGACACATCTAAATCTCAAGTTAAGATGCTCAACAAATCTCACACTAGTGAATCAATCTTCGAAAAATCTTCTTTCATTTGTCGCATCTACTTGCATCGCTCATCATCTTTTTGCAGGAAATCTTCAGAATCGTCATTAATCGTCTTTCTATCTATTCAGCGTGCACGCAGTTAGCCACAGCAAAACACAATCTTTTTTGCATCGTAGATAGAGTCGCCCCCCTCGATCTTTTTGCAGGAAATCTTCAGAATCGTCATTAATCTTCTTTCTATCTATTCAGCGTGCACGCAGTTAGCCACAGCAAAACACTATCTTTCCTGCAACGTAGATAGAGTCGACCCCCCCGAGTGTATGTGTGAAACATGGCGGACTTTTTCTTATTCTCTCACTCCAACGCAAAACCCCATAAGGAACTGTTAAAATGTGTGTGAAGAAACGTCACTTCGGGACTGGTGTCAAGGCGAATTTTGCCAAACAAGGCGCATAGTATTGGGCAAATTGTTGTTGTCATACATGTTCGGGGCGATTGAATGAGGGCGTATTCTTGACGTTCCGCATTTACGGATTACTTCGAGCCATGATTACTTCGCAGTAGTCATGCGTGATTAAAATCTAAATAATATTTCCAGTATTAAATTTCATTCTTTTTCAATACTAATATATAATCAAAAAAGATTAAAATTCAATCAAAAATTATTAAAATTTATTCAAAAAAAGATAATCTACAATCTTATCAACCATGATTAAACTAGGATTCATATCAGATGCTTATTTTTTAGAAAGAGAGGATTAATTTTTAATCATTCGATATGATTAAACTGAGTTTAATGTCAAATTGATTAAATTTCAAGCAAAATGGGAATAGTTAAATTTATCAGTGTAGGACCGCTAGTGAACGGAACAAATATGTTGATCATTTAGTTCTTAACTCTTTCCGTTTTTGAATTGGTGGCCCTGAAAAGGGCCGGTTGTTTTTCAAATGGTGGCCACATCAGTGCAAGTCGATGCCGACCGGATAACGGCGGCCTAGTCATGCCATGCTGCCTATTGCGGGAAGCATTTCCTCCAGTCGATGTGGGTGTTTTCGTCGTCGTCGGGTCGCCTTCGTATTGGTGCGATGCGCGCTGTTCCACTCATACGTCGTGTCCGACGCTTGTCCGTCCGTTGCTCGAAAGGAAATGACGAAGAAAACGATATGGCAAGCGTTTTTATTATTGCTGCATTTCTCCTCCCTTCCTTTCATTGGTGAAAAGATGAGCCATCAACCGAGCATTGAGCTCGCTTATGTGAGCATGTACAATGTGTCGTGTGTTCGATCTGCGCTCTATCATAGAGGTAACTCTAAGACTAGAAGGTCCCGAAATAACGTGCTCATCTTTTTGGCACAGCTCTGGTACTCTCTTCGGTCCCAAGCTAAATGATTCACCCCTCGAAACATAGGAAAAACCAATAACCCCTCATTTTATCTGTCAAACTTTCATAGCGAATCAAAACAAACATTGCGTAGTACTAGAATTTCGACTAGAATAGGGTACGTTAATCGTTTGCTTGGGACCAATAGGCTACTAAAGTGGTGAGCCAATTTAAAATCGTTAGTTTCGTATTGATTGTTGGCTCTATCGTTGCGTCCGTGTTTGGGATTTTTCGTTACATGTCTGAATTTTGATTTTTTTAAATGTGATCCCCAGTATAGCAATTAAAGACGTAGTCGAACGTCAAAAACTACAAGGGACAGCCCTATGGGGCTATACGCAATGGTGACGTAGAACTACGTGGTTTTATATAATAAATCTTATGGATGGAATTCAATTTTGAAATCTGTGTTAGAGAAATCGCTTTTCGCAATCGGTGAAAATTTTAATTATCATAGCAACAGTTGCACATTCGTTCAATTTTCAATGGTGACATTTTGAAAAATGATAGTCTTAAATGTTAATGATGCGTAGGAATGTTTCTGATCGATTGGTGATAAAATTATTGAAATTGGTCCAGGATCAGCTGAGTTATTAACGTTCAAAATCTTTCATGATTTTGTTACATGTTCCATTTTCGGTTTTCACAAAGTGTACCCCTATATAGAAATCACAGACGTAGTCCTACGTCAAAAAAATTTAGCTTAACCTTCAATTAAAAATATAATAAATACGTGCAAACTTGCTCGGTTTTTGTCTATTTGTTTACATTTTGCTAGTTTCGCCCTAATCACGATTTGCTCCGGATGTGGGAGCATAAATGAACCCACGTGGCAATTTGCGTGGTGGAACAATCAACTTGTTATGCTGCCAGTTTCTTCATTCATTCCTGACTTTGTAAACAAAGATGAATGCAAAACGGCACATGTGTGAGTATACTTTCGACGATTCAACGATGCACACTCACACATATTCCCGTTGTTCTTGGCTTGGCACTTTGGCAGCCAGTGACCAGAATTTATGCTGTGATTTCGAGTCAGTCATTCATCGTCGTTCATTCGTGCTTGTTGTGCAATGCAATTCGTGCGTCGTGTTACGGTGTGTGGGGCGTAGAAATAAGAAAAGTGTAGTGTAGTTAGTGTTTGATGGTGGGGCTGTTTGTGGTGTGTAGGTTGATAATAAGCTGAAGGAAAAAAACAAGGCCCAACCATTCGCAGACGGATCAGCCGCAGCAGGTTTTTAATTTGTTAATTTGAGCACTTTCCTACGAATTTACCAACATCCGAAGGACTGAACGGTGCCGAACAATCCATCAATGAAACGATGCTGAACCTTTGAAGGAGATCCGGTTGAAGGAAAAGCTGCAGATTTGCAAAAGCCAATAGTTACAAAAGGGTCGCTCTGAAAAAAGTCATAATTTAGTTTGTGTCGTCTATCCTCACTCGATCCTCCTGCCTACCATTATTATCTACGAAGTGCGCTGCTGGCTGATGGTAGTGGTATATATTTGTGGCAAGTGTAGTGTCTCTCTGTTGTTTGTGCTCGGAACGACTCCGGTGGTGGATACGTCGTCGCCAGTCTGTGATTGATACCTACATGATAACGCAAAACAACGACGGTCAGTCTTCTCATCGTCCGATTACCGAAGTGGAAGTGAGGATTCTTCAGCAGTAAAGAAGAGTGACGAATTGAGTGCAATTTACAATATTGAATAAATACCGGGGCAAAGTAAGAAGGCGAAGAAATAGTGACATTTGAATACCTTCGTGTATGAGCGATTACTATCATGTAGTGCAAAAAGGGGACACAGTCGTTCTATTGTACATTCGTGTCAATTATTATCGCAACGATTCATTCACACATATCAATCGACAAAACCTCACGCGGAGGACTTTCGGCCTCTCCCCCTCGAAACGGACGGTGTTAATTGGTGACAGCTTCCGGCACTGAACCCTTCTCATCGCGAGCGGAATCGGTTCTGGGACCTGGAAACAGTATGCATTTCTCCATTCCGGACACACAGGAGTTCGGTCCGGACAATTCCGGATCGTCGTTCACGGTAAGAATCTTATAGTTTCATTCACTTGATAGGTAAAATCGTTTGAAGGTACCATTCCAGCTGTGGCGATCCGCATCCGTCTTATCATCCAGATGGTGACTCAAATAAACCTAATTACGACTGTTTGTGATTGTTGCACTCAAATAAGCTCTAGGATCGTAAATTATTTCTTTTTTAATTAAAGCTGACCTTATTGGCCTGGGAGAATAGTTGTTCATAAGTGGAGTTGAATAATTTCCCTTATCAAACGTAATTGGTAATTGAATACTGCAGAAAATATGTGGGTGTTTTTCCTTACTGAACTGAGCAAACCGAGCTTTTGTCCCATACCCATTTAGCAAGAACCCTTTGTTCCATTTATTGCCATAGCTATGCATTTTTGTTTTCTAAGGAGGACCGCTTTCCGAAAAAAATATAATTTCAAAACCCCATCTACATGTCTACAAGGGCAGTCCCCCTCCCCCCTCCTCCTTGGCTAGTTTTTGCACCTTGTTGCTGGCTTTCGGGCTTAATTTCATGTTTTATAGTGGAGTGTTGGAGACGGTAGGTTTATGGCCGGCGTTGCTGGCTCATGCCGCGATAGAATGGCGCCATGGGCAGGCGATCGGGATTACTAAGCTTCCCCTCTCTGATGAACCACTGCTTGAGAAAACCAAAGATCTAGTCTAGCAGTGATAGTATCACCACAGACAAACAGACTTAACACATTGAATATTTCTCACTGTAAAACATCGTCGCTAAAACATTACCGCCATCTACTGAGTGCACTGTCGTAGGCAGTATACGCTGAACAGATGGCGGTAGAGTCCAAACGTCACGTCCAAAGCACGAATAAAATTCGTCTCAACCACGTTTTGTTTGTGCCAAAGCTGTCAGCAAGTCTTTTCACAGTGCTTACTATGACCACTCGAAAGACGAAGATTGAATTCGATGACGTGAAGTGCAAAATCATCGTCGATGGGAAGGAAATTGCATCTGCGACGGCTGAACAAACCAAGAACAAGCAATCGCCGCTAGGGTAACTGCATTTCACAAGCGAGATTACCAGCACACCTGGCACCGACGGCTTGGACACCGGGAAGCTGATGCGTTGGATGTTCTGCTGAAAAAGAAGCTTGTTGCCGGTATGAAAGTTGCAGATTGCGGAATACGTGAAGGTTGCAAATGCTGTGTGAAAGGAAAGCAGGCTCGAACTCCCTTCCCCAAGACCTCCGAGAAGAAGACCTCCGCACCATTAGACCTCATCCACTCGGACGTTTTTGAACTACTGGAGACACCCTCGGTGAGTGGAGATCGTTATTTTGTATCTTTAGTAGACGATTATAGTCGCTACTGTGCGGTTTTCTTTATCAAGCAGAAATCCGAGGTCGCAGAACGCATAGTGGAATACTGTAATTATGTCCACACGCAGTTCGGGAAGTACTTCAAGCGCATCAGGTCTGATCGGGGAGGGGAGTATTCGAGCGAAGTACTGCTGGAGTTCTACCACAAGCATGGAATCCATCCCGAGTTTACTGCCGGATATTCGCCACAGCAGAGTGGCGGAGAGACGAAATCGATACATAATTGAAATAGGTTCGGTGCATGCTAATGGACGCCAGGATGTCTGCACGATTTTGGGCTGAAGCAACCGCTACGGCCGTGTACCTACAGAACCACCTACCTTCTCGCGCTGTGGAAATCACACCATATGAGCTTTGGTGGGGACGTAGACCAAACGTTTCACATCTGAAAGTGTTTGGGTGCAGAGCATTTGTCTACGTGCCGAAGGAAAAGCGAAGCAAACTCCAGGATAAGTCGAAGGAAATGACAAGTAACCACAAGGCCTACAGATTCATTGATATGGCCACTAACAAGCTGATCATCAGTCGAGACGTTCGCTTCTTTGAGGAGGAGTTGGTCCAACCCGGTACCGATGTTCCTAATCTGGAGGAGGAGTCGTACGAGGAAATTCTACAGCCATTACCTCCTATGGCTGAAGCAAATCAAGAAGTTCCGGATCCAACCGATCCAGAGATTGACGAAGAAATTGACGATGGAAGGTCGGACGTAACCGACACGGACTTCGATTCTTGCGACGAGTCCCTTCATGAAGATTTGGATGAAAACAGAGCGGTTCAACAAAGGTGTCGCCCCACAGCGGTACCATGAAGCAGCTACTGAACCGAGCACGTATGAAGAAGCAGTAAGCGGACAAGAGAGCGAATCGTAGATAGCAGAGACCGAGGCGGAATATGAAGCAATGCTGAAAGCATTATCGAGGAAGTTCAAAACCACTTTCCTTGGCGATGTGCGGCAGTACCTGGGCATACAGGTGGAGCGGGAAAATGATAGAAGGTTTCTGCTCAACCAGCAGTGCTACATCCAGCGGCTGGCGTCGCGAATCGGACTCGAAACGACAAAGCCATCACTTATCCCGATGGACACCGGATATCTTCAAGCAAAGGAGGAGGAGTCCAGCAAGCTACCAAACAATACTTCGTACTCCAGTTTAGTTGGTGGTTTGCTCTACATAGCGATCAATACGAGGCCAGATGTAGCGATCAGCGTTTCGTTACTTGGGCAAAAGGTGGGCGAATGCAGCGGTATCTCCTAGCGACAAAGCATTTTCGATTGCATTTGGGTGGCAAGAATGTTGACCTGAAGGCTTACGCGGATGCAGATTGGGCAGGCGATCGTAAATCCAATAGCGGTTTTCTGATTATGTTCGGTGGAGGTGCGATCAGTTGGGCTGCAAGGAAGTAAACCTGCGTTGCCCTATCTTCAACGGAGGCTGAGTTTATTGCTGCTGCAGAGGCATGTCAAGAACTTCTCTGGATTCGAAAGCCAAACACGTTGACACCAAGTTCCAGTTCACCAAGGATCTTGTTCAACAAGGCATGCTGTCCGTGATCTACTGTCCAACGGAGCATATGGTTGCGCACATGCTCACCAAACCATTGAACAAACTCAAGATATCAAAACATCGAACATCGGCTGGTGTGCTACCTGTGCAGTTCGAGGAGGAGTGTTGAGATGACGAACAATCACAGCAACCAGCTGAAACCTAAAACAATCAAAGTAGCCTGTAAATAACGATTGATTAAAACTGCGGGAACATAAGGGAAGTTAATAAGCTGAAAATATGGGGAACTTACTGGAAGCTTTATGAACTTCAAAGCGGTTCTTTTAGCATCCGAAAATTTCCGGGAACTTTTATGAAGTTCCTAGAATTTCAGAGAACTTCACAGGTGTCAAGCGAACTTGAGAAATATAGAAAATATGAGGGGTATTGTGCAATTTTTTAAGACGTTCAAAGTATCTCAGAAAAGCTAGATCGCAGAGATTTTTGGGGAATTTCAGATCTTAAGAGCAGTTTCTGTAGCTTTAGCCCAGACTTTTGGAGCAGTTTAAAGATCTATAATCGTAAATTTAGAAAAATTCAGGATAGTTTCATGATGTACTGAAAAAAAAAATCGAGAACCCTTAAGATGTTCCGAGAATTTCAGGGAAGTACAGAATCCTTCAGAGAATTTATGAAAACATCATAAATATTTCAGAAACTTCACAGAAGTCCAGAAAATTTCAGGGAACTTTAAAGGTTTTTACGGGAAATCAATTTATTTCCAAGCAGCAGAACCGAGATCTTTAATAGAATTGAAAGCTTTAGGGAAGCTTCAAGAACATCAAGACAGATTATGGAATCAAAGGGCAGTTCAAACAATTTCAAGGAACCTTAAAGAAGTTGCGAGAAACTCAGGGAATTTCCAGAAACTTCAGCAAAGCTCCGAGAGAATTTCTGGAACGTGATAAAAATTATATGAACATCCGGAAAACGTGAGAGTATTTTAAGCGTGTTATATCATGGAGATTTCAAGAGCTTAAAAATGCGAAAATTTAGCTTAATTGATTAGAGAAAATCAACGAAGTTCCATTAATTAACAAAATGATACGAGAACTTTTAGCAAGCAGTGATATCTTCAAGAAATTCCAGAGAACTTGTAATAAATTTAGATAGTTTCATGATATTCAGTGAAGTTCCGAGTACTTCCAGAACGATCAGATAGTTTCATAATAATCCCATTAACTATCAGCAAATTTGCAGAGACTTACAAGGAGTTCCGTGGAATGGTGGGGTATTCCATGACTTTTATGATTGATCCGAAAACGTCAGAAGCGTCAGGGAATTATGAATATATATAAAAAAAATGCCGGATTATTAAACAAATTAAGAGAACTTCAGGTAACCACTGATAAGTTCAGGGAAAATTAGTGAGCGTTTATAATGATTATAATACTTAAGGGAAATTGTCGAAACTTCAAGGCAAATAATTTAATTTCAGTAAAGTTGCGGGTTCTTAAAAAATACTGGAAATTCAGGGCAGTCCAGAGAACTTTAAGAAAATTCAATTAGGCAGTTTAAATACCACCAGGAAAGTCTAGACTATTGAAGAAGTTTTAAATTAGTGTCGACAATTTAAGGGAAGTTTCATGAACTTCAAAAAAGCTTGAGAACTTCAATGAAAATCATAGAACTATATTAATTATTTCGTTCTAATTTCATGAAAATTGCGGAGGCACAAAAGTTTCAGAAATTTATAAAAACTTCACAGAAGGACACAAATATTTAAGAACTTCATAGAAATCTATGGAGATTAAGGAGAGAACTTCAGGAATTTTTATGAACATTGGGGAGGCCAGTTCCTTTAGTTTCAGAAAATTAGTGGGAAGTTTAAAGACGTTAACAGAGACGTTAAAAAGTTAATTAAGGTATTCGCATACGTTCAGAAGCTCACTGAAGCTTAAACATTTTTAGGGCGGTTCAATTAAATTCAGCGCAGTACAGCAAGGTTAGTGAGAACTGCTAAAACTTTAGAGAAGTTTTTTGAATTTCAGAAAAGAACAAAGAACCTCAGAGCAGTTCCGTTAACATTAGAGAAGTCACAGAGTTTCTCAAACTACAAAAGAACTTCAAGGCAGTTTCATTAACTTCAGGAAAAATTTGGGAACTTTCAAGTAGT